AAAATTTTAAAGGATTTTAAAATCATAACTAAAGATTTTATAGTGCTACTACAGGAAAATTTGACGTGTGCAATATAATCTACATACCAGACACATATCAACGAGGTAGATGTTGATAATACGAAGAAAATAACGTGTTTTTTAAATGTTAAATTTTAGACTGGGTTCAGTGTGGCAGCAACATTAAGAGTATACACCTGATGATGGCCGATAGAGGCCGAAACATGTAGTGTAGAAAGAACAAGATCAAAGACATATAATATATATTGTTTGCACTTGGGACGGAGTTTGTATCATTTATCGTGTAGAGTGCAACAGGATGCTGAGATACAATATTATAAACATTCTATTCTACACAACCAATGTACCTCAAAAACATGTACATATACACATGTGCACATTTCACCTATACTTAAGGAGTGCAGTGCATGAAGAGAGTGATATGGATATCCACTAAACTGGTTATAAACCTGTACTTCACACATAAATATACCTGCCACTGAATCAACAGGAAGTGAAATGTGACCTCCAGCATTTGAAGCGGACATCATACGGCTACGGTCCGGTATTAGAACCTAAAAGAAAAAACATGTTTCTTAGTTGCAGTTCAGATCCGTGCAGTTCGATAAAATCAATCTACACGTACAAGTATAATCTCTGCTGGTTTCACCACATGTCATACTAGTACTATACAACACGCAAAACACACAGTTTGTATAAGTTCATATTTTTTCAGAGTAGTTATGCACTGCATATTTGTGAAATACTTATCATCATACATGGTTTCAGAATCCTACACTAAATAACTAAAGCTGAGTTATTCAGTCAGCATAGTGACTGGTGATATGCCTGACATCAGTGTTCAGTTTCAAGGATGGGTAGAAATTTTTCCCTTTATGACCACATCCACAGCAATTTTGAGCCCCAAATACATCTCTTACGAAGTGGGTCACAGGCCCTCTTTACCTGGGGATAATTTGGGTTAAGTGTCAGGTTACCGCTCAACTCCATCTAGCGATGATGTCTAGAGTGCATGGAGCTCCACCACCAATTCCTCTACATACCTTCAGGGCATGGTGGTTGGTTACAGGATGCCTTTATCTTTCACAGAGATGGATATCAGGCCCATTTTCTTCCAAGATGGGTGACGCAAATTACAAAACTTGTCAAAAGCAGAGGCATACTCTGTTACTTTATATCTTAGGATGGTTCCTTCCCCTTAGACTATACCACGTATATATGACATCACTATCTTTGAATGATAAGCGTGGGCTGTGACTCCCGGCACTCAACAGAAGCACTGCCCTGGCTCAACTAAAGCCATGTTTGGAATGGATACAAGCATAATTCATCAGTGTAAAAGTGAATTTTATTTCAAAAACAACTAACTGCAGATATTCTTGACACTAATAGTCTATGAAAAGAAATATCCTCAAATGTAATACACGAAACCATGGCTTAGAGAGACCAGTATTCCTTCTTATTCTTCCAACAAGGAAAAAGTCCATGCTTTCTGCAATCAACTGATTTGGCATTCTATCAGCATAAGTGGAGAACATAAACAGATCAGGGTCAGAATGAATTAACTTTTCACTGCACTGCAGTAAAGTCGCAAATTACAGTTTAAAAGAAAATTAAGGTGCAAATATTAGTGCCAATTCTCTCATGTCTTTAAATAAGAGAGGCATGCTTCAGACTGAGCATGAAGCCTATGGCCAGGAATCGAAACCAGAACCTCTGGATCTATAGCCAGGAACGCTGACCACTAGACTACAGAGGCAGTCCCTGAAGAAGAGGCCGGACATGTAAAAAACACGCAGACATATGTCCAGTATATGTAGTTCAGTAACATACGAGTTCGGAATAAGAAACAGAATTCCTTAGGAACTGAAAAAAAAATGATTTTTGTTTACGTCTTAATTCCCACCTTCTTGATGTCAAAAATGCATATGGCTCGGAATTCCGTAAGTATTTAACAAATCGATTAAAGCCTTCATATATGCATATATTCGGGCACGGTCATCCCAGTTACGAAGACAAACAGATATAGAGAGGATAATGTTGGGCACATGGCTCCTTTTCAGATTTTTTTCCAACCCCACCTATAAAGAAAGGTAGAGCGGTTTATATTTACCGAAAACATCACGAGTAATATGACCCATATGACCTATAAAAAGTTTATAGAATATAACGACGTCCGTACACAGCGCTAGAAATATTTTGCGTACAGAAACGGCCGGTCCATCTGCAGGGGGCAGGTCGCGAACTGAAAACGGTATGCAGTTTCCACTTAATGACTATGGCTTAAAGTTACAATTAATGTAGTTTACAAAATGTGGCAGTTATCTCTGTTGGAGTACGACATTCGTACGGCATTAATTTCCCAGCTTATGTGGTGTGGAAGCGGGGATCCGTTGCGCTGACAACGCAAAAGTTGGTACTAACGTCGCCGACAAGCAGAGGTCGCTCGGTCGGTACAGTTCGCTTGCGGACTACAGGCCACGGATTTTTTTCCTTATGTGGCGTAGAATTGCAGGAAAATAAGATTCAACTAAATATATTCATTATGGAGGAGGCCGTCGTGGCCTATTTGAAAATACTATTCTGGTATTCGTTTACTCTAAACGAAACAGAAATTACGGGTACCTGGAGACAAAGCAATGAGCAGAATATTTGGGCCGCAGAATGACGACGTAAAGGGAGAATGAAGAAAATTACACTACGAGGGACTTCATATTTCTTACTCTTCACCTAAAATTCTTTGGGCGATTAAATCACGAAGGATGATATGTGCGGGCTATGTAGCAGGAATGGAAAAATTTGTAATGTGACAAATTAAAAGATTTGTCACAAAACCTCAAGCCAAGAGACCACCTATGACATGTAGGTGTAGATAAAGTTGTCCCCGTGCTTAATTAATTAAGCAATATGCCATCAAGATATATGGGGGAGTGGAGGTATAGATCCACCATTCCTGACCTCGGCACTAAATGGAAGTGAATGGCCAGCTTCACGCCCGGGCCGATTTACCCCAAGGGAAATTGCCGCCCGTTACCCACTGGATAGAAAGCAGGGTGGGCCCGAGAGCCCATCTAGTCGCTGTGGAGAGGAGAAAAATCTTGCCTTATCGGGAATTGGGCCCCAACCGTCCAGCCCGCAGCCCGTCGCTACACCGACTGAGCTATCCCGACCCCCACGTAGGTGCAGATGAAAGGCCACTATTAAGGTGTGGACTAGACTATCTCACATGAGCACGACGTTGAACCTTCAGAACCCACAAACACGGGTAATGTCTCGACCAGACACCATCAATAAACTTTACATGGAAGCTAGTTTGGGGAAAAATGCCGTCTTCTGGGATGTGGAGCCGTGTAGATATTTTGCTAACCGACGTTTCGGAGGAACCTATAGTCTCCATCTTCAGGGTATAACAAATCCGCGAGCAATGAACCAGCGTGAACATGCGTCTGTAAATGTACCCTGAAGAAGGAAACGATACGTTCCTCCGAAACGTCGGTTAACAAAACATCTACATGGCGCCACATCCAAGAATACGGCATTCTTCATAGTCACCAACGTGGAAACTTCAAATCTTACATGGTTTGGGGACGATTCGTATTCTTACGCTGCATATACGTCAATGCGACCATTCGTAAAATTCTTAATTACGTGTATATCCTTAACCCAGATTTAAATAAACTACTTAATTTTTCGTTTTATTAAATCCATATTTTCCGGCACTGTCTTACTAAAAAAAAAAGCACGACGACAAACACTTCAGCAACTGGATAGCAGTGAGTGTGTGTGTGTGTGTGTGCGTGCGCGTGCGTGTGCGACCGATCAAAGATCCCCATCCGACAAAAATTCAATTTCATTCCCAGTCAAATTTTATTGACTTGCTCCCCATCTCTTGCGGCGGCCACAGTGAAATTGAATTTCTCCAGACATTTCCTATGCTCTTTACAGTGCTGCAACGTCATAACCTGCGTTCCGTTTAATCTCGTTCCAAATCAAGAAACAGATCACAATTCTGGCATGTTAAGGCTTCACACTTCATTGAGTTGTGTTCAATATTAGAGACACTTCGATCAGTTAACCCACTCTGTGATGAAACCAGTTTTATCCCCCTTCTCCCCCTTCCAAATAAAACTTATTTTGGTAGTATACTTCGACAACAAACTATGAATAAAATTTCCGGCACGTTTATAACTGGTTGCCGTAAAATATCAATAAATGACAGAATAAGTTTTATTCGAATCATAGACAAAACAGATTAAAGGCAGCAAAATTTGGTTTCAAAACTACGCACATTGAAACGGTTAATATTTTTTACTACTTTAAAAATAATCATGTGCAACGAATTTGGAAAAAAAAATCGTGGCATACTGAAAGGTAATATTCTGGCAAACTTTCGGTCAGTAGTCCTACATATGCCCTGAAGCTGATTCAAACTGGATATCTCATCTACATGAAAATGGATTACAGACGAATAGTCTACTCGGTGAGCTGGAGGTACGGACGTCACATACAGTATCTAGAACTGTACGGCTACAGCAAAAAAAAAAATAAAAAAAAGTTCATGAATGTTTGGTAGAGGACGCTGCTTTTAACACAGTATAAGTCCATATACCGCCCCCCCCCAAAATAGCAACTAAAGCGAAACTTAAATTTACATTAAAGTGCTAAACTTCAAAAAGTCGCCCTGTAAACTTTTAGTTCCTTAAGATGAGACCCTGTAGTCTGGTGTGCGAGGTTACCGGATATTTCTAATGGAATAAATTCATGGAGACGAGTCCTTGAGAAGCAGCCAGTTGCTCAGCTACTCACGAATTTTCCAACATTTTATGGAACCCGAAGGTTAACAAGAGCCCTCCACTGAACCCTGTCCTCAGTCAGATGAATCCAGTCCATACCACCCCATTCTATTTATCGATGATCCATCTTAACATTATCTTTCTATCTACGCCTAGATCTTCCTAGTGGTCCTCCTTGCTTTCTCACCAAAACCCTACGTGCATTCCTATTCTCTCTCATTCATGCTACATGCCCTGCCCACCTCATCCTCCTTGACTTGATCATACTAATTATACTTGCAGAAGAATGCAATTGATGAAGCTCCTCATTATGCAATTCTCTCCATACTCCTGTTATTTTTATCGCTCTTTAGAAGCTTATTATTTTTAATGTAAAAACTGTTTAAAATTATTAAGAACCACATACAAAAGAACATGCACAGCCATAGTATCATGCAGTTATAGAAACTAAGGCTTTGTTCAGTGGTGTGCAACCACATCTGTTCATGAACTGTTCAACTTGAACTGTCTGTCTGGTAGCAAGCTGTCCTGACTGGGGGTTTTCGCAATGCCTTTTTTTCACTTGCCTCACGCCACTCACAAATTATTGAGTTACCAAAGCCTAAAGCGGCCTCCGTAGTCTATGGGTTCATGACTCAAGGTACGCGGGTTCAAACCCGGCGGAGGTCGTGGAATTTTTAAGGGCGGAAAAATTCAAGGAACAAGTCCTCCGGGAGGGACTTTAAGCCGTGGGTCCCGTGTAGTAGATTTACGGCACGTAA